AAATGAGAAATATTTTGTTGATAAATAATATAATTACCAAATTGACATTTTGAGATAAATTGAGATGATACAATCTTATTAGGGATTTTTTGTGTGAGCACTCTTTTAAAACTTTTATTATGGCAATAGATAGTTGAAAACCACATATTTTTGAGTGTAATAATAAAGTTACTTCAATAAGCTTCAAACAAAAAAAAAAACAGCATATACAGTGAGCATCATAAGTCCCCATGACTAACTCGTTACTGGGATCTTGTTATGAAAATCGCCGAGACAGGTCGATTTTTGATTTCTACAATGTACATTTTTGCATAAATAGTTTACCCTTAATTTCATCCCTTACTGGAAGGTAGAACCCCTTTCGATAGACATTGTAACATTTAATATGCTGCATTATTACCGCACATATACATTATTTTTTTAATAGAACATTGGTCTTAAAACTAATACCTATACATAACTACGATATTTTTTAAACGTTCTTATGAGAAATGATTTCAGAAACGTTTCTTTCTCAGGTAACATACATTATTAGCATATTCTTGGTACATTCTTTTTAAGAATATGCATATACCTACTGAAAATATACTTTATTTGCATTTAGTACATTCTCAGAATATACTAAGTATGTGTTACGGGACGTTGTTTACACGTGTTATGCAGATACTGAGAATGTACTTCAAGTATGTGTACAGTATGCAATAAGTATCTACTTTCATTTGATAGTACGTTCTAAGTATATGTTAACTATTTAAATTTAGCATATACTAGGCACATCGCTGTCCCAGTGCAAAAATATTTTTTACAATACAGAAGACTGTTATAAAGTTATATTCAAATGCTGTGGGTTCCTTAAGGTGTACCACGCAACTTTGTTTTCGTTGCGCAACGTTAAATTGTTTTGGGAACAACGAACCCGGCTTTTAATATATTTAAAAAAATTTAAATTTGTATTGTTTGATTAATTTTTGCTGAATAATAACGATATTTTAAGTACAATGTAATTCCCCTCTTATCTTTAAAAAACATTTCTTTAATACAAGCTTATCATGATTTACACCATCAAATGATTTACTTAAATTACAATTTAAAATTGCCATGGATAATCATCTTGATTAATAGGGTTATTAAAAGTTCGAGAGGTTCAGATACTTTATCCAAAATGATTTTTAAATTATAATGGCACAGTAAAATGTTTATTTTTTAGTTTATTTATTAAAATGGGTAACAACTATTCCTTACCATATAGTATTAAAATTATTAATCAATGGTCACTCTGGGCAGCTTTCTGAGCACATACTTTGATTACTATACGGTGCAAGGAAGAGGTCCGACACGCAAAACATAGGGCGCGGCCATTTTGATGCCTTTACCACAGTTTATAGCTGAAGAATCAGTTCGCTCACTCCGCTTCGGCACTTTTGATCTCACTGTTCCAGTTTATACACTGCGCAACTCGGATAATATAATATATGACAACCGCCTATAATAAAACAGCAGTCTTCTGCGCATCCTGAATTTGTATCCCTGGAGTGGATGTTATTTTGGAACATTCAACTGTTTCGAGTGAACTAACTGATTCTTTAGCAATAAACTGTGACTGCAAAAATAATATTAACTGACACTGACAGCAGCAAGCAAAATATTAAAAATATTGCGCCAAGATGTAGGCAACACGTAATAAGGCATCAAAATGGCGGAGTTTTCTATCTCCTTTTAAAAGGTACTCGGAAGGCTGCGCAGTGCGACCATTCTCCGTATAGTAAGAGAAAATCAAAGTATGTTTTTCTGGGTGCCATTTAAAAGGAGATAGATTGTACCCATTCTATTAATCGAATTGTTTAGAAATTATTTTTAGTCCCCTCTGCTAAATAGTTTATCTGGAATAGTTAGAAAATTACCTGTAATATTTAATTTTTTATTTGGTACAGTAAATTGTGTATCAATTTCGAATAAATGGAAATTTCTGAGTAGCAAAAGTACCACTGATCCAGATACATTGATTTTGTACGTTAGACATACACAAGAATCATAAAAGTAACAAAAACGTCTTTTAGAGCCACCATATTTCGACATCCTTTTTACAATATTAAGTCGACAGACTAAGAAAAGCATAGCTAGACCATCGGTTGCTACAGAAGCAGAAAGTAGGGAGATAAGCAAGAGTTTTGAAAATGTATACTGGCAATCCAATGTTAATACAATTAACAAACTTGTGTATTCTTTGAAAACGAGAATATTGGTGGAGGTGGTGCCAGCAGTAATACCCATAGGGGTATTTTCTTGAATAGAAAATATTCAGTAATTTCTTACTATGTAACAACTGAAAGAAGATGAACAATACATCTGTTTTAGTTAAAAATTTAACAATTACATATAACTAATTTAGGAAAAAATAAGTGTTATACAAATTCAACGTGTCTGTCTCAGATAAATTATAAAATAAAAACCAACTATCTTTTGCAGCTTGTCTGCAAGAGTATGTTCCTCTGGTCATATCTTTTAATCTCACATTTCTTTGTTTTTATTTTACAGTTTCGTACCATATTTACAGCTGAAAAATTGCAAAATATAATATTAGACTATTCAGCCTTAAAGATTTTCATTACATTACAAAAATAAAATGTTTGTTCATGGGCATGGGACTGGCGAAAAGTATTATAATATTATGGTAAAATCATATGCACAGCTTTAGAAATAATTTAAAACCACTCACCTCTATTTGAAGATGCTCTCGCAATTATAACTCTACTTCAAAGAAGTTTCTTGTATTTTATTTAAAATAAATAAAAATTTCTTCTACATTTGTTGCCTTTATTTAAAATCTCAAAATACTAAGATGTAGGCTACCAGTTTAATATTTTGGAAAAATATGTTGTCTAACCTAGTAGTAATTGCATCAAAATGGCCGCGCCCTATGTTGGGCGTATCAGACGTCTCGCTTGCACCGTATAGTAATCAAAATAGGTGAAGCGATCACTCGGTGACTTGTACTATACTTAAAACGTATCGCTATATCTTTTCTACTCGCACGTATACTCATCGGAACAATCAACCCCTAGAACCTCAGCCTCCTCTTTCTTCACTTTGCTAGTTGGGCAACACCCTGATACTAATAAAGTATAATTTAACATTATTCAGTTAGAACAGGTTAGATTAGGAGAAATATTTCTTTGCTTAAAAAAGAAATTTAAATGTCTCATTAGAGACAATGCCGTATAATATATTTTGAGGAATAGTAACATCGACTAACCTAGTGGATACAATCTGGTGGTTCATTTATAACACAGGTGTCCATTTTGTTTGAGGCAGGATAGAAGATTGGTAAATTCTGGGGTAGCTTTTAGTTATAGGATGATCTATATTCATATCGACAGCTTAATCTGCAAGCAAGCCAACTCCACTTTTTTAAAAAAATCATTTTATTTAACGATACTATTCTGTGATTCGCTCTCGAACAGTATGCAAAACGGTAACTCCTAAATTTTAACACAAAGCCTCGATACAACCCGCACAAAAACAAGCCAAATCCCTACATAAACAAACTACTACGAAAAATGCGCCAAATAACAGTAAGACGTGACAGATCTACAAGAAGTGATGTACTGTGGCTTTGTTGTATTATTTAGTGGATTATTTGGAGCTTTGTAGTGTTACTATTTAAAGAAATCGTAAGTACCTACCTAAATGTAAAATATTTATCAAAAATCAGTATGATATATTGAATGTTATTGCTTTAAATAGTTTAAATACGAGTTGTTTTAAAACCTTTTTACATAATAAATAATATTTGAGAATTTTGATCTTGAAAAGGAGTTAACCATTTACATGTAAAGAAGTACTTTTTCTTTATTTGTATTTATTTGTCTGTGAAGTTTTTTGGTATCTGTATACAGAGTGTCCCAAAAAGTTGTTTAAACGTGTGAAAAAGTTTATCTTAAATTTCACAAATCTAGGTATTCTCAACAAAAAGTTTTGGATGACTTTAAAATCCCCAATCAAGCATTAAATTTGTATGTGCAGAACAATCATTTTTACAGGATTATCATTCTTTTTATTCCAAAAATAACTCTTGAAAATGTGTGGTGTAGGAAACTTCATCCTAAGACGACATGTGAAATAATCTGTTTATTTTAACAGAAAATGTGTTTCCTTTTTGCAGTTGTCACGTAATGCGAGAATTCTAGAATTGGCGTTAAATGTTGTACCGGAGAAAAAAGACTCAGACTATACGAGTATAACATGTAACTTAATACCAATAGAAGACATGCCCGTTATATTTATTGATGACATGGGCAATGTATCACAAGAAATTAATAGTGAGATATTAACACCCTTGTCGAGAGGAATCTGACGAACCAATATTAACCGAGTTCAATAATAATGTGAACATTGATTTATTATCTACTGAAATAACAGCTAGTCCAAATAATGATGAAACACATTCTTCTGTATTAGAGTCGAACTTATCTACAAGTAGTCAGGACGCCAATGAGAAACGTATCTTTGCATTTGTACCCTATTCCGATTCTGGTACCGATAACACCGATTTGAATAATTATTTAAGTGAACTAGAAAAAAAGAAAACCAAAAGGCGAAAGAGATGTCAAGTAAACACATCAAATTGGAAAGATCGCTGCAATGCAAAAAAAAAGAGAAAGGGGTCAACGATATTTTGGTAGGAAGAAACAAGATGGTACATGGAACAATAAAGTAACAAAAAAATCAAGACAAATGAGAGCCCGCTGTTCGTGTTCATCAGTAAATAGTGCACTCAAATGCATTAAAATTTCTGAAGAGACAAGACAGCAAACGTTTGATGCATTTTGGTTGTTAAATTGGGGAGAAAAAAAGATTTACGTTGACGGACTTAAAATGATGCCCACTATTAAACTAAGAGATAGAAACAAAGCTTCATCATCAAAAAGATCATATTCGATGTATTATCATTAAAAAAAATGACGAGCTACTACGAGTCTGTAAAACTATGTTTTAAAACTATGTTTTTGCATACATTTGATTTAGGTAAAACGGCTGTATGGAACTGGAAACATAGTGCAAAAGAAAAGTTGAAAACAATAAGGGAAAACAATAAATCGGCTACGAACAGCACATCTACAAAAAAAGTCAGAAAAAACCCTTTCCAGAAAGAGAATGATTCATTAAAAGAGTTTATTGAAAGGTTACCCAAAATGGAGTTCCATTATTGCAGAAACGAAACGTCAAAATACTATCTCTTACCGGAATGGACCTCCAAAATGTCACTATATGATTATTACGTTTCAGACTGGTGTTCTTCAAATTACGTAGCATCTTTGTCGGTGGCAAAATTTAATAATACTTTAGATACAGAAAATGTATCATTATTCCAACCCAAAAAAGATGCTTGTGAAACATGTATATCGTATAAACTGGGTTTTATATCTGATGATATGATATCTGAAAAAGACAATGATAAAAATAGTAAGGAATATGTATTTGCTGTTGACGTCCGAGCTCTCTTGTCAGCTCCTAAATCTAACGTATCTTCATTATATCACAAATCGAAACTAAATATTCATAATTGTTGTGCCTTTAATTTAAAAACTAAATAAGCTTACTGTTTTCTATGGAATGAGACCGAAGGTGGCGTTACAGCTGAAGAATTTGCTTCAGTTGTTGCACACCTTCTTGTACATACAGTTCTTCCACTGATCCTTAAAGACAGGGACAAGAAAATTATAATTTACAGTGTCGGATGCACGGCACAAAATATAAACGTTACAGTGTCAAATGCATTGCTGAATGTGGCTATGATTAACGATGTCATTATTGAACAAATGTATCTAGAAGTCGGACACACACAAATGGAGGTAGATTCCATGCATGCCTCAATTGAAAGAAGACTTCGAAACAAAATAATCCATGTGCCTGAATTTTAAACTTATGTTTTATTTCAGCGTTCAATGAAATGATTAGATTTTAAGCAGAGTCGTAACATCTGGGGGGGTACTTTATTGGTGGTCATTTTTATATTTTATGGACTATATCTGTTATTTACGTTTGGAGGAGAAAATTCTTCAAATAAAATTTACTTCTAATATTATTATCTATAATTTTTGCTTTATGTCAAAATTTCCTGAAATGGTCCGTATTAAAGAAATTTGACAAAATGTGCAAAATTCTGATTTTTATGAAAATTGTTGAACTGAAAGTTGTTTGCGATATCGATCTCTATAATTTTTGTTTATACATGATTTTTCTAAAATGGACCGTAATGGAAAAATTGTAGTTGCTAAATTTAAATTTTTCAGTATTTTCGTTTTCAATGAATAAATATAGAAAAATGTTTCGAGGTAGATGTATGTGGAAAATGTATATATTTAGTTTCTCCTCTAAACATTTATAGAGGTACTGCAATAAGTTGTACAAAACAACCAGAAAAAGCCTATAATAACTAGATAGGAAACTCATATGTGTTGGACACATGAGATTTTTTGACTATAAAATTTAGAAAACCAATATTTTCTGTATAATAAAGCTACATTTGTTGCATCTCTCTAGGACACGCCATTGTCGAAAGTGTAAACAATAATTAGTATGTCTGTAGAATTAGAAATTTTATTTTTTTTTAACTTTCAAAAACCGGTAACTAAAGAAATTTTAGAAAATATTTACAAAAATGTTTTCATCTGGACTTCACTTGTAACACCCTGTATCTCGAAAACGAAACGTTTTCGGACCTATGTTTATATAAACTTTTACTCCTATTTTTAACCGACTTCAAAAAAGAAGGAGGGAGGTTCTCAATTCGTCGCAATATTTTTTTAATTTTTTTTATGTATGTCCAGCGATAATTCTTTAACACGGTGTCCGATTTCAATGATTCTTTTTTTGTTAGAAAGAAGGTACTTCAGGGGTGGTTCCATATAAATTTGGACAAAATCTAATAATTGGGCCCATGAGAAAATCCTCAAACTCTTCATTTTTTATGTATGTTTAGCGATAATGCTTTACCACCTTGTCCGATTTATATGATTCTTTTTTTGGTAGTAAGGGGGTACCTCAGGGGTGATCCTATATAAATTTGGTTAAGATGTGGTGACGGCATCTGCACGTTTTTGAATTCGGTTTTTTTTTAATTTTTAATTTCCAGTACTTGTAGGATGTAGATTACGCTGTTAAAATATGACCGTCTAATTTCGGGACACCCTGTATATTGGAAATTCGAAATAATAGTTATGACGTAGCGGTGTTTTTCTAATTGTAATCGGACTCTAGGTATATGGAGACGGAAAGTGATGAATTGGAGATAGGTAAATTGTATTTATTGTATTAAAGGAACAACAAATATAAGTACAATTAAAATTAATGTATATTAAAATAACAATTTTTTAAAGTTTGTATTAAAAAAATTTTTTTCACCTAGATTATCAAATTAAAAAAATAACTATTAAGACACGAAATGTTTAATTTTTCTCTTTTACAACACAAAATATACAATACTGTTGAATCAAAATTTTCTCTTGGCAGCAGGTGGTTTTTGTGACGCGACAATTATGATACTTTGCATTTCATGAATTAAAGCTAATTCTCTTTCAATCTTAAGGTGATCATACCCCTTATAATTTTCGGACAAGAATATCTCAAAATATTTAAATTTTGGCAAAATAAATTAGGCAATAATATCTATAATATGCATATATTTTAATGTTTTAATTCCTTCCAGTTTCCCAAAAAAACTAAAAGGGCTTTAATTTTGAAATATCATAATGAAAATAAATGCATTCCTCGACAGCACTAGTCTTAATATAATCCCCAAGCTCCTAATGACTTGTTAATGATTTCTTAATATTCACCAAAATAAGTGGCTAAAACGTTTGGTTAAGTGCTATCTTCTGGTGTAAACTGGTGTAAATTATTGCAAGAAACGAATAATGACAGAGTGTACGATACGATAGTTACAAGCGCGTTACACCCGAAGGCAGCATATAACGAGGCGTTTTAGCCACTAATTTTGACAAATTTTAAAAAATCATTACCAAGACATTAAGAGTTTAAATTTCGGGATTATATTAAGAATAGTGCTGTTGAAGAATGCATTTATTTTCATTATCATATTTGATTTTTTTTCCCGGAAACTGAAAGGAATTAAAACTATAAAATATATATAGTTAATATTTCCTAATTTATTTTGTCAAAATTTTAATTTTTAAACAAAATTACTTTTTGAAATATCCTGGTCCGAAAATTATAAAGGCTGCTGCATTCACCTTAATATACCAACATACAGGGTGTTTCAAAATTCATGGGACCAATTTCAGAAGGAGATTGCTCGTATGAAATTAAGATGGGTGTTTTCTATAACTAAATTTCCTCAGCCCACCCCTTTCCGAGATATCACCCTTAAGAGGTGGTGACTAAAATTGAGTTTCTATTTTTTGCTCTAAAATTTCACTAAAGCTATAAACCTGAAATTCTGTAATTTTCGTGCACTCGCAAAGGACTAACCACGGTTATTTTTTCAATATTCCTGTTACATTATAGGGGGGTGAAATTAGCAACCCTTACTTTATTTCATATCAAAACTTTTTTTCGAGATGAAGTTTTATGAAATAATTTTGTAACTTGAAATACTTGTTTTATTTAAAAAAATTTTCCCAAAACCAATACCTTCAGAGAAAAAAAAACTGTTTTCCACTCAATTTATTAAAAAAAAAAATGATAAATTAGGGTGTTAATTTTTTTCTCTGAAGCTATTGGTTTTGGGAAAAAATTCAAGAATAAAAAAAATTAAATAAAACAAGGATTTCATAAAAGTTCATCTCGAAAAAAAGTTTTGATATGAAATAAAGTGTTGCTAATTTCACCCCCCTATAATGTAACAGAAATATTAAAAAAATACCCGTGGTTAGTCCTTTGCGATTACACAATTTCAAGTTTCTAGCTCTACTGAAATTTTAGAAAAAAAAAATAAAAACTCAATTTTAGTCACTACCTTTTAAGGGTGATATCTCGAAAAAAGGTTGGGCTGAGGAAATTTTGTTATAGGAAAGACCCATCTTAATTTCATACGAGCAATCAGTTCCTGAATTTTTTCGCATGTATTTAGAAACACCCTGTATATTACACATTTTTTTAAGCGGGCAAAATTCTTGACAATCTCTTTTCCCTAATTGGCACATGTCGTATTTCTCTAGGATTTACTTACTCTGGCAGCAAACAAATAAAATAGAAATTTGTCATCTGTGCATTTTTGCCTTCTAGAATTTTTCATTTCATAAATTAACTAAAAACTAAATTAAACAAAAACCTAACAACGCCTCAACAACAAACTAAGACGATCACAATAATTTTGCACCTTTTCAAAAACAACTACCTATTTTTCGACACAGGAATTAACAAATTTAACTAAACAGCAGCTACCCTTTTAACCACGGGCTTCATAGACTAGCAGCGTTGCCATATTCACTGGTATCATTGTTTTAATAGAATTTGTATCGGAATGAAAACTATGTTAATCTTCGGTCCTGTTTAAAATTGGTATTTTTTTTGAAAAAAAGTTATTTAGAAAATAGTTAAGATATTTGTGATAGAATGAAGCTAAAGAGCTAAAAAATTAAATTTGTTAAAAAGTTAAAATTTTTGTTGTTTTTCTTTAAAAATATAAGTTTTTCGCGGTTTAGCGTCATTCTTGGTTCATTTTTACACCGATTGGCCTGAACCGTTTTTTTTACAATTTTTTTTAACTGCCTCAAATGTAAAATTGATTTTTGGCGGAGGAGCGCCCGTCATGTTTGCTCTTAAGCCAAAACTTATTCCATCTTCGGCTGATCGTTTATTATTCTTATATACATATAAAATAGTACTGAATATTATTTTGGTTAAAGAAAGTAATAATATAAATAGAAAAAATTTAAACGTTTATTAACAGAGATAATCACAAAGATCGTTTCAACTAAAATTATCATATTTAAAACACTGGATATAGAGCAAATGTAGCAATTCCACATTGATTATTCTTATTTCTTGACATCATCACGTAACCATTCTGACCATATGTTACACCCCAAGAATTTTTCACCAGCCAGTAGTCAATACCATCTAAAGTACCATATCCAACAACCAATACAGCATGGTCTAAGTTATCTTTTTCTGAATGACAAGTTGTATCATTAAAAACTCCTAAAATATATTAAGTAAACGTATTAGGAAAATACTATTTTTTTAATCGGGTCGGTGGTGTAGCAGTTTAACGCGCTTATATTCATTTATAGGCAAGTTTATGGTCCGAGACTGCCGGGCTTCGAATCCCAGACCAGACCATGTGGATTTTTAATTAAATTGCATGGTTCGGTATAGGATTTGATGTATGCCGTATTAACAGAAATTCAATTTCTGTTGATATGATATGCAGATTATAAAATCGCCATGCATTACCGTCTCGATGATGGTGGGTGGCACTATCAATCATCTTTAAGTCGCCCCGGAGCGCCACGGCAAATAATAATAATAATAGCCGTCCCTTTCCCCGTACAAGCTCAACTTTTGGGGTTAAAATGCACTCGTAAGGGTGTGAATTATGGAGAGTATCATTGTTATTAAAATATAATTTTTTATTGTAAGAGCATAGTACAGAAAAGAATTATTAGCAACTCAAATTTTTCGAAATTTCATATTTACGTCAATTACGCTGCTATATATTTATTACCAATTTATTTGGAACGTTTCTATCTCAATTTCGCCATATAACGAGTCTGTATGTTAAAGAAGGAAAGGAAAAATTTTATTGTTTTATTATTCCACAGTATTGATAATTTAAAATGTTTTGTTTTCCTTTAAAAAAAAAAAAAAACGAAAAAAAAAACAAAAAAAAATAAAAAATTAGGGGGCTCGAACCACCAACTTGCTATCCACACTATCCAAATTTTGACCACTGTACGCTCTGCGCCACCGAGCACATTTTGATAGAAGATTGGAATCGCTTATAATAATATATAACAATTTATTACTATAGTAAATAGGACTTATTTTTATGTTGGTCGGCAATTAAACCCCGGAAAAAGTGTCTGCCTTTTTGGAAATAATTTTTTTTTTATTTAATTAAAACGCTATTAAAATTTCAGCGTAAATCAAACCCTTTAAATCATATTTAAAAAAAATCAACTTTGGGGTTGATTTATTAATTATAAACCCTCTCAAAAGTGTCTGCCTAAATTACTAGTATTTTTAGAATTATCTAAACGTTCAATTGTTGTTTGTTGGCCTTTGAATCAAACACTTTTATTGGGTCATATTTTACGACCCCTTTCTATTATGCGCAGTACCTGGTGTCCCGGGGTGGGTCTAGCCAACACAGGTATATCTGCTTTTCCATCCAAATGAATTCAAATTACAAAATTTCAAAGTGCATCAAACACTTAATGAAATTTGTGTTACTAGCTCTTGGACTTTACCCTGAAAAACCAACTTGGAGGGGTGGACTTCTGAAATGAATACTGATAGAGCAAAAATCTGGCAGATCTACCTTTACCCGAATTAAACTTGAAGAAAAGTTAAAGAAAGAAATATTCTTTGTAAAGAGACACGTTTAATTGTTACCAAGTTGGAACCAAATCTTATCGTGGCCAATTCGTGACTGGAGAACAAAAAGGAAGAGTTGCATACATTTCACCAATGACTAGAAAGGTCTGAAATTTACCATGGACCGCCACCAATTCCCTGTAAACCCAGCTTTTGTTATGATCATCCATAAGTCACAACGCCAACCCTTAAAATTTAACGGCATTGATCTAATGACGGATGTGTTTACGCATGGCCAGCTCTATGTGGCATTCTCTAGAGTCAAACGTAAAAGTTCAATCAAAGTAATTTTCAATCCTATAAAGGCTCCGTGGACTCGTAATATAGTATTGAAGCAGATGCTAGATCCACAGTCCCAAATAGATGAACCCGGTCAAGAAGAATTTGCAGAACACTATCTAGATGAAAATTATGTTATATTTAATGACATTACATAATTGTATACATTTTTTTCAAACTGCTTAAACTTTTAATTTGAAAACATTTACTATTTAAATGATACACGCGGCGCTACGTGCTTTGAGTAATTTTTAAAATCTTCTTTGAACTTATTCTGTGTAACAGTAAAATTTAGTATTTTGGTGGTATTTTGACGCCCCTTTTAAGAACACGTCATCAACCGCACGGGAAATAATGCAAAGCAGTTTCTAATTAAACTAATCTATCCTGAAGTATGTAGTCGTTGGTTTTCTGTCATGTTACACAATGTGCCACAAAAGAAAATAATCGATTTCCATTGTAAAAAAGGACAAGTGGATTTCTACATGATACAGAGTACCACCACAGATCGAGTTATAGAATCTCTTTTCATAATTCAACGTATTATGAATCATATCGAAATCGAGTTACTCGACACAAAACGGAATCTCACCTCAGATACATAAAAACGAATTAAATCCTAATCTGTCAAAATGTCAAAAAAAGCGAATCCACTAATGATCCTAGGAAAATGTTGTTACCTGACAGACCCCTCTTCGATTGTGGAAAAGAGTAACTTATACAGTATAACGGTACCGTTTGATATACACTACCGATTGTTCTCTATACCGTGGTAATATTTTAACTAAAACTTATTTAATCAAAAAAATATTCTACCTGAATGGTAAAATTGAAAATGAAATTCTGCGTCTATAGCTACAGATATTGGTTGCCTAGCAACAGCCCTCTTTAATTTATCTTCATCGCCAATGGCTACAAAAATATGTTCCTTAGGTTTTAATACAGATTCCGATACATTGACTAAGCAAGATAGAGATTCCCGTCCTTTATAAGGATATGCCCCTTCTTTCACTATTCCATTTTGCTCAACGTACTCCATAGCATCGTCCGTATAACATCCGTCGCAACCTAGGCACTGTTTAGCACAGTCAACGAGGTTTTGTTCACTCAGGGAGATAAGTTGTCCTGTTTTAATAAAATATGCTCCTTCAATTGCGCCAGTCTGAAAAAAAATATTTTCTTAATATTAGCTGAATCATATTTCTGAAAAAAAAAAAAACGAATTTTTTAATCAAGGGAAATCAAGCATTTTGTTTGACGTAAGACAATTGGCGTATAAAAATTGACCTATGACAGTTGACGTATGATAGTTGATGTATGATAATTAACGTATGAGAGTTGACTTACTAGAATTTACAAATGAATGTTGATATAACAGAAAAATAAAAATTGATGTGACATCAGTTTGTCGTAGAAATTTCAGGTGATACAGGTATACTGTGGCCTACCTCAGACAGGTATATTTATAATTTATTAATTCCAATTATTAAAAAAAAGTTGCATTCCAGTTATATTCAAATTCCTTCGTTTAAACTAAAAAAACTTCTAGATAATTAAATCTTTTCCACGATACCTAATGATAAGAATAAAACAAATAAATTTATTCGTGAAGGATATAACTTTCCTATTTATGCCACTCAAACAAGTAAGATAATAATAAAACCGTCATGCAACATAATTCTTTTAATAAAGTTATATTAATTAAAATAGAATTAGGTTTTTAAAAAAATAATAACTTAAAAAATAATCGCTTTTGATAAATTTGCTATAAATAATAATCTCCGAGAACTATATAGTTCAGCTCAGTTAATTTTAAACTCCAGTCTATTTGGTATTATTTAAAATCCATATCGATTCAATTAACGCCTTTCCTATCCAACGCTTTTGTATCCCGACATACTCTTCTATCCGACGTTTCTACGTCTCGACGCCAGCTATCCTATCCGAAGTTTCTACGTTCTGGCGCTTTACCACCCGCTGCTCTACGTTTGTACGCTTTTACTTCCTAACGCTTTTACGTCCCAATCTTCTACGTCTCACGCTTCTACGGCTAAAAGCTCTTACGAACCTAACGCTTTTTTTGACTACTCGGATAAATATTCTAACACAAGTAACGCTTCTAATGTCCAAAATAGAAACGGACAATATACAACTAACGGTCTGCACAACCGATGATGAGTTAATAACTTAAATGAAAATGTTTTATAAATTATGGGAATTTATTATGTAATAATAGTAATAATGTAGAATGTATTATTTAACAGCGCTGCATTTGGGCCGTCCAAATTGACATTGCTTTCGAATCAAACCAAACATAGATTTTAAGAATCTGGGTTATGGAAATGTCAATACACCCTTACTATTTGCTAATAATTTAGCAGCTTAGCTAACTGAGAGTGAGTGATACTATGGGCGACTAGACTAATATTTTAAACAAATATGCTTGACATTACTGCAGAGTTAGACTGTATTAAGTAATTATCTATCGATCTTCGCGCAGTAGGTTGATCTGAACATAAAAAGTAGTTCGCTGGTAATGATCTGGCACTATTCTAGTAGGAATTCACTACATAAACTCTATTAAGCGCGGCTAAAACATAAGGCTTATTTGCTGCAAGAACGTAATAACACAAAAATGTTGTTTTAGAGGACGCTCATTTGCGAGTATACCTTTATTATTCAAAAATAACCAATTCTTTAAATATTGCAATTAAAAGGGTACATTCTTTGTAAATAAACTACGACATTTCCGTAGTTATAGTGGTATTCGCTTGACGATGCTAGCCCTTAATACTTTTCAAGTTTAAGGATATTAAATCAATAATTTGAAGTTTTTTAAGTTAAGTTGGTGTTCTCGCAAACGAGCAAAGAGAATAATAAAATATAATAATTTGACTCATTCCAGTAACGTATTACAGCAAAAGTATAGTAAAAATACGAAAGAGAACACTGTTTTAGTTAACCGAGAGACTCTTCTATCACAACAGTTTCTCAAGCAGTAAGTAAAATATGACGATATTGAAATTACAGCATTGAGATAAGATGAAAAGATTTGTATCGATTTAAGCGGCATCTATTGGCAATTATAGAAAGTTGAAATGTGACACTTTACTAGATAATAGTGCTTCTCGTTACGATCTTTAATGTTCCAATAACTCAAAAATTATAATTTTTGACTTATTACGTTCTTGCAGCAAATAAGCGATAAGAGATATCCTTCTGTTATTGCATCGACTGCATCTAAGTAATATAACCTATATTAAAAAGTAACGACGAAACAAAGAATTATTTAAGACAGTGAAATTCTGAGAACGTCTGCTGTATATACTCAAAAATTCTTTATAAATGGCAAGTGGCCTGGCGACTGTTTATTTGGGCGGGATACGTTGGAGGTATCGGTGACAAATTTATTTAAATTCATTAATTGACTAAACTAGGGATGAAGAATTGTTATTACAAATGAATAAATAAGAAAAATTTAATGTATAATGAGGTAATTGTACAACTAAACAAACAACTAAAACTCTTGACATTTAGCACGTCAGAGAAATAAAGAAGTTTTTTATTAACACTAACTTATTCTTTATTAATTTTGACTTAATTGACCTTTAGAAAACTCTGAAGTTAATGTAAATACCTGCAGTGATCTAATATTTTAAAGTCTGAGATGAAACCCACTATTTGTTGAGATATACACATCATCACTGCCTGCATCATAAATATAAACAAATAGTACCTAACTATTTTATATATTCTAATTCTGTTACACCTTAGTCAATAACCATTAATTTTTTTTCCTTTTTTTTTGTTTTTATTGAATAAGACCATTGAACCTGTTATTTTATACTTTTTTGACTAATGTGAGATAAAGTATAATATTCGTTCCTATTTTACTAAAATGATTGTTCATATTTAAATAATTTAAATGGATTGGTAAAAGTATCTTTAGTGGGGTGTATTTTTTATTAAAATATATCTATATTATTTAGGACACGTGTTATAAATCAATGAAGTACAAAATAACACATTGTTGATTTATAATTAAAAATAAAGAATGATCCATAAAAAGTGTTTTTAAAGTAGGCATTGAAAAAATTCACCTATATCGTATCATATAATTTTTATATTGTACATAGTCCAGAAACCTAGTTATTACGGACTTGACTCGTATTTATATCTTTGTAGGCCAGTGGCTACCTCAGAAATATATTTTATGGATCTTTCTAAAAACAATAAATATTTGTTTTCAAATATGTAGTGCAGAACTAAAAATATATCAATTTATATAGGGCCAAAAATGAGTAGAGACAAAAAAATAAAAGGGATTAATAAAAATCAGTTGAAAAGGTGAATTACTTACGGTACTGAATGCCCAACAGGATCCACAATCTCCTTGATCTTTTACTTCAGTTACTGCTCCCTTTTCTCTCCAGTCAACTGCATCTGGAACATCACCATCGAATTCAACTTCAAAATTTTCAAATGTTCCATAAGTCGATGGAATATTCAATTTTGAAAGCTTCTGCCTCTCAAGAAATTCTTCGGGGGTTAAATCTCCAAATTGATTCATTCCCATTCGGAAAGTAGATAGGCCTTGTTCGAATTTTACATTATGTTCTTCGATTCTGCGTAAATTAGCTTGATATACTGAAAATCGGTAAGTCTCTTCAACTGAGTTTCTATAAAATTTTCCATGATTTTTCTAAAAAGAAAATTAAAATAAGTTAGAAGTTCTTTCATCATTTAGATGGCATACACGCTTACGGGTTATGCAATAGTATATTGTAAAAAAAAAATTCCGCGAGCGAAAGTAATTTGTGAGACGACCCGTCATAAATCATAAATCTACTTCTTCGCTATAATCCCCCCCCCCTTTAAAGAAATTGTTAGGCAGCCTGAAATACATCTTTGTGAATTTGTAGTTACATAGTCAACCAATTCTACATAGCATTTTTAGCCGAGGATGATTGAAAAAATTAGATTTCTATACATAAATTAATCAAATAATCCACTTCTTTGCTTGACGTAGAATTAACACAATTCCGATTTATTAAAGTCACAGTGAATATTGTCGCACAACTTACTAATAAAAACATAACTAAAAATGTCTTATAGGCATATACAATGTATTTGTTATTTAATTCCAATTCGCAATGATAACCACAGACAGATCATTTACTTTGATGGGCAGATTGGATCCGATCCGATTCAGAGAGCCGGATCTTTAAAAAGACTTTCAAAATATTATAGTGCGGATCACGGATCCGATTGACAAAATTGAATCTAGAATCAGGCAGCAGTAAGGAATATCACAATAATTCATTGTGCAATTTTCGCCTTATACATACTTCTTATTTAGTAGATATTTTGTTTGTATGCAAGTAATTGTTTTTAGTTGTCTCGTAGCAAAACATTTATCTTTTAAGTGTCCCCAAAGAAAAAACTCCAGAAGCGATAAATCCGGTGACCTTGCAGGCCATTCAATTGGGTCTGTCTTTCCTATTCACTGTCCAGGGTACCAGTTATTTAAAAATTCTCTTACAGAACTAATATAGTGCGGAAATGCTCCATCTTGCTGGAAATAAAACTGATCAACATCATTATTTGGGTAATTTTCTAATATTTCTGTTATAAGAGGGTCAATTTCATCTTCAAGCATCTTTGGGTACACTTCACTAGTAAAATTTCTAGGAATGAAAAGTGGTTCTACAATATGGTTACCTAATATGCCACTACCAGAAATTTATTTTGTCAGTGTATTGGGTTACTGTCATCCCAATAACGGAAAATATGCCTATTAAAAGCTCCATTCAAATGAAATGTACACTTATCGAAAAAACAAATCAAGATCTGCAATTAAACACTGGCTCTTTCCTCTCAAAACAGCAGCCTTCTATCAGGATCATCCTCGTTTAGCTCTTGTAATAATCTAGTTTTGTACAGTTGAAATTTTTAAGCTTTTAAAATCCTAACTATAGATGAACGAGAGACACCCAAGACTTCAGCTAGTTATCTGTACCTAAACATATACAAAGTGAAATCATACGACGCACCAAGAAAGCACACAATTTTTAAACTTTTTTAATCTACGTAAAAAGTATATAATACACTAGATTAATTTTATAAACTAAAAAGTATACACACCATTATTTATTTGTGACGAGTAGCTATAATTCCAATTTTCAAGTTCCCACCTATAAAAAAATCTGATGTGTCCAACACATGACTTTCCTATCTAGTTATTACAGGCTTTTTCCGGTTATATTGTACAACCTATTGCAGCACCTCTATAAATGTTTAGAGGATAAACTAAATATATACATTTTCCACATACATCTACCTCGAAACATTTTTCTATAGATATTCATTGAAAACGAAAATACTGAAAAATTTAAATTTAGCACTTTTCCTACAATTTTTCTATTACGGTCCATTTTAGAAAAATCATGTAAAAACAAAAATTATAGAGATCGCAAACAACTTTGAGTTCAACAATTTTCATAAAAATCAGAATTTTGCACATTTTGTCAAATTTCTCGAATACGGACTATTTCAGGAAATTTTTACATAAATCGAAAATTATAGATAATAATATTAGAAGTAACTTTTATTTGAACAATTTTTTTCTCCAAACCTAAATAAGAGGTACCTATATTCCACAAAATATAACAACGACCTCCCATAAAGCACCCAACAGATGTTGCGACTTTGTCCAAAATCTAATCATTTTACGTCAGGCCGAAATAAAATTTAAGTTTAAAATTTAATGTTTTTTTCTTTATCCGTTTTTGAGTTTTCTTCAAATTTTGATATTTACACATTTTCTCAAATATCTCGAATTTTAGAGAAATTATGTATGGGATAAAAATTATACAGAATTATATTATAAACAACTTTTGTTTAAACCATTTTTATAAAAAATATTTTTTTTACATTTTCTCGAATACGAACCATTTTAGGAAAATTTTGTATAAAACAAAAATTATAGATATTAATATTAGAAGTTACTTTTATTTAAAGAATTTTCTTCTCTAAAAGTAAATAACAGTTATATTCCATAAAATATAAAAATGACCACCCATAAAGTACCCCCTCAGATGTTCCGACTCTGTATTAAATCTAATCAGCTCATAAGACGCTGGACCAAAGCTTAAGTTTACAATTCGGTGTTTTTATGTGTATCGGTTCATGAGTTATGCGAGACACACACACACACACACACACACACACACACACACACACACACACACACACACACACACACACACACACACACACACACACACACACACACACACACACACACACACACACACACACACACACACACACACACAGACACACACACACACACACACAGACACACACACACACACACACACACACACACACACACACACACACACACACACACACACACACACACACACACACACACACACACACACACACACACACACACACACACACACACACACACACACACACACACACACACACACACACACACACACACACACACACACACACACACACACACACACACACACACACACACACACACACACACACACACACACACACACACACACACACACACACACACACACACACACACACACACACACACACACACACACACACACACACACACACACACACACACACACACACACACACACACACACACACACACACACACACACACACACACACACACACACACACACACACACACACACACACACACACACACACACACACACACACACACACACACACACACACACACACACACACACACACACACACACACACACACACACACACACACACACACACACACACACACACACACACACACACACACACACACACACACACACACACACACACACACACACACACACACACACACACACACACACACACACACACACACACACACACACACACACACACACACACACACACACACACACACACACACACATACACACACACATACACACACACACACACGTTTCTACGTATTTATGACAACACATGCAGTATCCTCAATTGTGGCGCTTTGTAAAATATTGTTACCAATAATGGCTCCTGTTCTGAGGAGTATATAACTCTTTTTATTTTGTTTTTACCCTCCGTAGTTTAGAACTTATAACGAAAAATGATTTATGGCATCAGTCGCCACTATTGGGTAAGGGCAACCGAGTTGCCTCAAATATGTATATATGAAGAAAGTGTGTCTTGAAGGTGCCATTAATATAGTTCTACGGGATCTGTGTGAATTGCGCTGTTGCCAAATTAACAAGTTGCCACAATCATTGACAAATCGGTTTGAGGTGTTCATACCTAATAAAACTATAACCTTCATTTTTTTTTAAATTTATTAAAATCTTAATAAAATATAAGTTTTTTCAAATTAACTGAACATAGTCATTTTCTTTCGATTCTTACCAATTTGATTTTTTATGCAATATTTTATATTCTTCCATGGTCTCGAGGATAATAGAGGATATGTTACGAGGCATTCTTAACATTCTTTTTTTGTGACCTGCCAACAATATTAAGAAAAAACTTAAAACCGTATATTGTATGTTAAATTTCTTGATATTTTTGTTAAAAGTTTGGTTTAAGTTAAATGTTAGTGGAACCAAAATGACATCACACTAAAATAGCGTACAAGGAATAATTTTAAACTATCAGAGGATTGACTAACAACATTGTACAAGGGTATCTTATTAAGGGCTCTGTAAGCGGCTGTATCTAAAAATATTTTGAAGGAGAATTTTTTTTGACAAAACCGAAAAAACATACTGATTTTTATTCCAAAAGGGACACATCAACAATCTTTGCAGCAGAGGCACTTCGAAATATACAGAGCAAATAAAACACACACTTTAAACTCTTTAAAAATGACCACCACCTAAGCAAAATGTGCGAAATTCGGTCGAGTTAGTAGCATACCGATATGTGTGTACCGTGAGGGTACGTATCAATGATTTATACGAAACGTCAATTTGAAATTGGCAAAAAGGCGACGAAAAATAAACAAAAATCGTTTGGGTGGCTCAAATATTAGTTTATTAATATTAATTTAAAAAAAAAATTAAAATTAACGTTTAATTGTGCTTAAGAGTTCTATTTATCATGTTTAATAATCCTTTCAAATACCATGGGAAATGAGAATTTTTCTAGAGTACATTTTTTTATTTTCTTACAAATTATACACATTTCTTTCAAGAAAATCCTCTCGAAATACCACTCGACTGACGTCTCGTGGATTTTAAAGAGGATTTTGTTTCATGAAATTTTAGACGTTATAATTTCCAAGAAAACAGCAAAATGTTACCCTTGAAAACATGATTATAAATCACTTATAAAAAAAATGATATACCAAAAATTGTAGGTACCTATATGATTTGTATTAGAAAATCATGAGTATTAAATTTCATAGTTTTTAAAAGAAAACGAAAAATGTATACAAAAAGACGGCCCTGCTTTCTTCAGAATTTAACGATAAAATTGTTTTACAAGAGAGCGTTTAATTTTTACCGAAACCTCAGTTAAAAAAGTCCAAGGGACGCTAAATTGGTGATTTTGACCTTATCTGCCCTGCGAGGATCCACAAGCAATATTGTAGCACAAATGAAACGATTTTATTTTTAACGAATTGCCTTGAATTTTTGCCTTTGTGAAATATCTGTAACTGTAACGTTTGGAGGGTGGGATGCCCTACAGCACATAGGCGTCTTTAGGCCCATTGTACATCCTCCTAGCTCCTAAGCCAGCCCTCAGATTTGATATAGTTGACAACGTCGTCAAGAGGTGCTTCTCTTATATAGGCTGGTGTTAGCGCCAATTCTCGCCAAACACAAATGTTTTAATAATGAGAGCGTTGGACACTATTAAAGGTAGTTTCATATTCTTACTCGCATCCTCTACCGAGTGCGGATTCTGACAGCCCTATTCCATGGCGATGTTTCCGTACTTGGCACTGACCAGTCAGGAGGCGCAAATTCCATCTAGTAAATAATAATAATAATAATAATAATAATAATAATAATAATAATAATAATAATAATAATAATAATAATAATAATAATCTTTATTCAAAAGAAAACAATATAATATAAATTAATTAATTGATGACCTCTAAGAGGTTGCGCATGGGCTACTTTTTACAAATTCGGCTTATTTAAACAATTAAAACATATAAACATTATACAAATAAAATAAATAGTAAGTAATATGAATATATAAGTATATAATAAAATTTTATGATAAAAATTAATTGAGTATATAATAAAAATTAGTTTAATTTAACACATATTTAAAATTATATTATTATATATTATATTATATATTAAGTTATATTCAAGTATGTATTTTCTCTGTCAGGATAACTTAGAAGTATCCTAGTAACTCTGCAGATTCTTTTTTCATTTCATCTTTCTTTTGTGAAGTATAACTTAAGCCTAACCACGTCGAAGAAAACGAAAAAGTTCTTCACGTGTCGCGTTTTGATTAGGATTTCAAAAAAATTATGTAACAATATTTGGGCCCCTTACCTCTTCGCCTGTCCATGTAACAATCCTCCTTCACTTTTTAAGCAAGTATCAGAAAATATTTAAGTCCTCTACCCTTTAAGCCCATACGTGTAAAAATATTTGAAATCTTTACCCCTTAATCTTACGCATGTAAAAATAATATTATGAAGGATCGTTTATCTTTTTGATCCCAATATCAACTTAAGATAATAAAATTCAAATCAAATCCTTCAAAATATGTTTAAAAAACTTTAAATAATTTGAATTAAAAAAATAACACTATTTTGGTAACACACGAATAATTCACATTTTTATTGGGATGATTGTCATTAAACAACCGAGCGCAATCATTATTTTGATAAAAAAGTTTTACAAATTCAATTTGTTGTGAAATTGAATAAACCACTTTTTTACAATAAAATTAAAATAATTTTAAACGCAACCAAATTATAAAGAAACCACAATGAACGTTTGCCCAAATTGTTTTCTTATTTTATTGTTTTTGTTTTAACAAAAAACGCAAACGATAAATCTGAAATTTCGTTTTTATTATAGTACATCTAAGTGTTTATTAAAATAAGTAATTTAGTACCTACCTACTTATTGTAGTTGTTTTGATTCTTAATAACTAAAATTTAAGTAAATTTTTCAATATGTATAATAACGAAACTGCAGATGAACTATTCTCATCTTTCGCAATGAAATCTACTGTTAATATTCCTTGTAATTCATTTGTTGGAGTTCCCCTTGGCTAGAGAAGTTCCAGTTTATTATTTAGTAATCCCCTTTACTAATATATTACATGGTTTAAGGATTAATTTTATTATTAACTGTTAGATGTTAAATATATTGCAAAAACCTTCGGTATATTGTTACGATTTGTTATTCTAAAAATTATGAAATTGTAGTACAAAGTGCGTACTATATTTACGTTAAAATTTTATAATACTACTAGGATCTGAAACTTATTGCTCTTATTAATTTGAAATCACTTACTTTAAAATGTGTCCATTCTTCACCAAAAGCAGAAACAGTTGCCAAAATAGCAATGAAAATGGAAACGCTGCACCTCATCTAAAAGGAAACAAAAAACTCTGAAAGTGAAAATGGAAACGCTGCACCTCATCTAAAAGGAAACAAAAAACTCTGAAAGAACTGTAGTATAATAATGAGTAATTTATTAATATTTCTAAAGATGCTAAATTGGTGTTTCCAACCTTATCGAGACTGAGGTCGACAAGTGTGAGAAACGAGAAATGATTTTAATTGGAACGAAGGACCGCAAGTCAATAGTAGTATAAACCTATGTGAAAAATTAACTGAAGAAGTACAGGTATATTCCAAAAAATTAATTAGACAGTAATAATAAACGTAAGGATGTAAATATTGTTACAAATAAGCTAGATAAATTTTAATTTAATCAGAATTTTAACCATATATCGTGAGCCACAAAGAAGGACCTCGTCAGTCACAAAATTGGTATTTTTTAGGAGATGAAACATAAGTGCATAGAACGATTCATTTTACTGTAATATTTTCTGTATTTTAACACATGTTTTGTTCAAAAATTGTAATACTTCTCCTATACAGTAGATGGGGAGAAATATTTGATAGATTATCATAAATTATACTTTTAAGTGTAAATGTTATTTACGACCCAACTTACAAAGTAGCTTTATAATTTTTAGTTTCCATATTTTATTATATTACTCTTTTTGGAATGCTAATTTGTTGTACTAAAAAAACTACTATTTTATTCTCTGACACTAAATTGTTAAATAAATTAGTTTTTACAATATTCTTACGGCAAAATTATAAAAAAGTGTCCAGGATAACTATAAAATTGTTAGATAAACATTTATATAAGTAATCTATACAACATTTCATTTCGTTTCTTAAGCTCATAATAACGCTTTAAAAAATAGTTATATAAATATTAATGTCAATAAAAATTTGCTCCTGATCAAAACTTTAAAATAACTGCAATGTAGTGTCAAAATACACTTCTGCAAATCAGAAACTATATTCGCTCCGTGCGCGACAGCAGCGCTAATTCGTTTTGGTAATAATGGACTATTTCTGCGTATACTGACAAATGCAATTTTTAATAGAATTCGTAATTAAAAAGTATATATGTTAGTTTTAATAAAAGTATATGGATTTGTAAAACAAGCAAAACATTAATTTATTATTATTATATATTTTTATCTCTTAAATTAAAGAAAATTATGTATAATCAATAAAAATGAATAATAAAATAATGGCAGGCAACAGCATTTACCTACTGGAAAATGTATAAGAAGTTGCCTAAGTCTAATAAGTTGTCATTGAAGAATTATTCTGTCAAAATAAAAAATACCATTTAATAATAGCGTGAAGTTAAAATGTATAAAAAAAGGATCGTTATTTATATTTTCATTTTTGTTGAAAACAAAACATAGAATGAATGATTTAAACTGGTTTCCCATCAGTAGGTTACAAAATTGTATTCCAGCCACTTATAATAATAATCAAAGGCAGAAATCTTGAAATCTAGTCCTTGCTGAATGAACATTTAAGAATAAAGGGATATTAAAGAACATCGTAAAATTATTTATTGTGTATTTAAAACTTTTCAAGTTTCTGATGTCTACTGTTTCCAGCATTACTGTTATTATTACAAAAATAAAGGTAATTTTTCTTCTTATTGTACACCTATCCATTTATTTCTTTGATTTAATTTCCACTTTGCTACTGAAATTTTTTATATAAGTTTCACTGTTTTTTTTTGCTAGTATTTGTACAATTTTCAACACAGCAACTCCAGGTGCTTACTGTATTGCTTTCACCTACTTTTTTGAAAAAGTAAAATGTATACGTGTATTTGATATGCCAAAATTACAAAATATCGCCCTAAAATGCACGAATTATCCGCAGCTAGCGCTAGTATCGCTTTTGCTTCCCTTTCCATGACTTCGCACGGAGCGAATAGAGCTATTATAAATCAATAATTTTACTTAAGAATAGTATTATGTTTTTAAAACTATTTATAAAAAAAATTAAAGCAACTACATTACAATACCTAAACCATATTATTTTGTATTTATTGTTCAACTACTTCCCATACCATTTGTATGTGAGTGTATGGTCTCAAAATGTCAGATTTAAATAAGCGAAGAAATATAAAAAATAAGTGGTACCTGCTTTTCAGAGAATAGTAAAATATATTACCAGGAATTAAATAAAACAATTTGTAGATTAGGAAATTTTCAAGAAACCGAAAATTTAAATAATGATCCAAATTTAAAATTGTTTGTACCAAAATCCTTCTCATTAAACTTTAAACAACTTTAAAAAATATCACGATGTCATATTATATTTCCGCACGATAAGTTAAACACAAAAAATGATATTGTGATGTACGGGTAAGTGGTGTGCCTGTATAGTAGATTTAATTTATTGCTTTCTTTTCCAATTGTAGTATTTTTATAAAAAGTGGTTTTACCTATTGGAACGATATTGGTGTGATTTGTAGATACAGTCTAGAATAAACTACGGTACTGAGATTGTTGTTTTATTTATACGTATTTGTAACAAATATAATAATCACCTCAAAGGTAATATATTACAGATATAAACTTAAAATTTTCAAGAAAAATCAAGTTGGGGAGGTAGCCCATTATTTTTGAAATAATCTCAATAAAACTGACAAGCCGAGATCTCCAATAATTCAAGATTTAACGTCTAAGGTTGCGCAGTAATACGAATCAGACTGCGATATGGACGATAGTACCTCTGATTTTAAATATAAAATATGTAGTAAAATGTTTGTCATTGTTTCGATGAAGCAAATAACAACCTATTGTGTTTTTTGGAGTTTACTTTGTTCTGAAAAATGTCGAAGTACAAAGGGTACAAGGAAATTTTTCTTTTTGTAAAAAAAAATTAGTTTCCATCTTTGCTACGATCCTTGTAAGTAGCATTCCCTGAACAAACCAACCCCACAAAAAATTACAAATAGTTTATTTGCAGATTTTATTGTAGCTAGTTAAGTTTAAACTCAATTTAATAATAAATAGTTTAACTGTTACTTGAACCCTTTGAATTCTAACCCCTTCAATTAGAACATGTCCTCAGTGATTTTCACTGATTCTTCTGTTATTTAAACTTATAACTAGCTCTGCGGAGTCTAGTTAATAATATAAATTCTGCATAAGGATTGCTTTGAACCATTGTTCTTTTTTCGACATAATAGTATCAGAATATTTTTAGCCAATTCCTACTTCCTAAAAGGTTAGTGCATTCAGATTTTCCAAAACTGTTTGAAAAGTAAAAACGGTCGTGTATAGTAATATTAATTAGTCTGATGTTTTTTATAGCAACAATTTTAATAGTACTTAAAGTCTAAATTAGTTTCAGAAATATTATTATTATTTTCAATCATTATTTTATAAATAGTACATTTAATAGTTTAATCATTATTATAAAAAAATATATATTAACCTTAATTTAACAGGATATCTTCAAGAAGCAACCAACTAAATTAACTAAGTCTAAATACAAGTAGATCTTCTTATTTTATAGGTATTCTGATACTTAAAAAATTTACATATCAATAGAGAATTATCATAAGATACATTCAATGATCATGAGTTACCTACTTTAATTTCAAGCTCTGTTTAAAAATTTTAATAATTAAAATAAAATGAGATTTGAAGTTTGAAGAAACGTCTAAAGACCTTGTCTTTGGCTATGGAATACGTGTATATTAGGGTAGAGCGAAAAACAATTAAAATTTTATTTTCTTTTAATTTAAAATAGCATTTGTATGGAAAAGCTGTGTCTTATAATGAAGAAAACAAATATTATTTTTTTATTATTATCGCTTTCAAAAAAACCTAAATCTTTCCGTTTGACCGAGATATATTTATGGAACAAGACTATTTACCAAGTTCAGTGACCGACCGTCCTTGTGGCGAATGTTACAAATGGCATAATTCTCCATCTTTTCTTGTAATCTCGATATTAATAATCTTGACAATGAACATCCTGATAATGAAGAAAATGTTGACGAGCCAATAGGTTCCACAAGCACTTGCGCTGATGAACCTGCTTCCAATCCCTCAGTCAGAACATCAGTTGCTTCAGATGATGGTAAACTTGTAACATCATTTGATTTTAGAGAACCGATAAAAGCAGGACCTCGTAAGAATATTGGAAAGCCAAGAAAGCTTGGTCGTAGTCTTATTGCAACTGACACACCGGAAAAATATTAAATCGAAGTTGAAAAACTGGCGGCAGTAGCAAGAGCATATAAAAGAGACTCCAAAGCGACCACATGTTAGAATGGTTCTGCAGGATTCGGAGTCAGAAGATGAAATTAAAATGGCATTTCAAGATAGCGGCAACGATCAAGGGCAAATAAAAGACACTCCAAAGCGGCCACATGTTAGAAAGGTTTTGCAGGATTTGGAGTCAGAAGATGAAACTGAAATGGTACTTTAAGATAGCGGCACCGATTAAGATTGGTGGGAAGAGGAAGATGATGAAAATGTGAGGCCTTTAACAAATGATGTGTTGATAAAAAATATCTTAAGATAGGCAACCAGAAGTGGACGATTTTGTGATTGTGATATTTCCCGGTAGAAAACAGAATGTTTTTTGTAGCAAAAATTCTACAACCAAAAAACAAGGATGACGAATATTACGCCAGTTTCTTGGGGTTCAAAAGTAATTCGGTCGACTCATTTTACTTCCCAACTATTTCCGATTTTTCATAGGTCCAAGAAGATGATATAAAATAATTTTATCCAAACCACGTTTTTATGGTAGTACCACACGGCAGCAGTCTTACTTACGATTTGTTGTCAATTTTTCAGAATTAAATATTCGTTAAAAATATGTTTATCACATAATTAATGTAAGTTTGTTTAATGTTTGTGACTAGAATTTATTTTTATTTTTTAATGAGTCTGTTTGATGGTTGTGAATACTAAATAATAAAGTTTTTTACTTTTTCGTCATAAGTTGTTTTTATTTAAAAGGTGCATTGTAAATTTTAACTCATATAAAACAGGATTCACTGTGTACCTAGTGGAGAATCACTGTTGCCACCACCGTGTATACAGTGAATAAATTTGGAATTTTTAAAAAAATAAAAAAAAATCGATTGATATGTGACAATGCAATCAAAAAAAGACCTATACCAATGTGTTTTGACACTTTTCAGGTTTAAAAAAAAAAATGATTCACTGTTCCCACAATGACCCTATAAGTAACATTGTTAAGCTAATACCTTTTTATTTTTGAACTTTCCGGGTAAGTTTATTTTATATTTTCTATCAAATAATTTGTAAATTTTATTTTAGAGTTCAGTTGTCAGTCGGAAAATTGCTATTTCAGTAATGATTGCCATGGCTACCCCTAACTACCAATATTTGTAATAAATTAACTGTGCCTAAATCGTTAACTTTTTTAATGTATTCTATCTAAGAATTGCTGACAGTTGATTATATCGTATCTAAGGAATTGTACACGGCCTACGTAATGGAAAAAGTACCTATTAAAGAAAACAATTATGATCAAACACTATTAGCAGACATTCCGAAACGCAATTCGATAATTCACTTCCCCTACGAAATTTAAAAATTAACTTCGACGAAAATTCGAGCCGTTTCCCTAACCTGAAGGTCGTTTTAAAGTGAGAGCAGCAGCGAATTATTGGATGGAATTGTTTCCCTTATTTCTGTTCCTTCCCTTTCATTATGGAGCAATTGCAAATTTAACTTGGCGAACTTTGATGAAAATTGTGATCAATAGTTATAGGCTTCTGTTTCGCCGTTTTGGTTCCGTTAGAGGAGGATTGTGGTTACGTTTCGTATCATTTAATTTAATTAACAAAAATATTTTGAAATCGTATATTATTTTTGCTGATGCTAAACTATTACAAATGCATGGGTAAAAACTATTGTTGAAGGAATGTTTTAATGAACCAAGAATAAATGTTTTCCCAAATTTAACAATGATTTAATGACACAAAGTTTGTCTACCCATATTTTATTATAAAAAATGTCTTCTTAAATATTTGTTTCTTTCGATCCTATGTTATGTTATGTTATGTTATGTTATGTTATGTTATGTTATGTTATGTTATGTTATGTTATGTTATGTTATGTTATGTTATGTTATGTTATGTTATGTTATGTTATGTTATGTTATGTTATGTTATGTTATGTTATGTTATGTTATGTTATGTTATGTTATGTTATGTTATGTTATGTTATGTTATGTTATGTTATGTTATGTTATGTTATGTTATGTTATGTTATGTTATGTTATGTTATGTTATGTTATGTTATGTTATGTTATGTTATGTTATGTTATGTTATGTTATGTTATGTTATGTTATGTTATGTTATGTTATGTTATGTTATGTTATGTTATGTTATGTTATGTTATGTTATGTTATGTTATGTTATGTTATGTTATGTTATGTTATGTTATGTTATGTTATGTTATGTTATGTTATGTTATGTTATGTTATGTTATGTTATGTTATGTTATGTTATGTTATGTTATGTTATGTTATGTTATGTTATGTTATGTTATGTTATGTTATGTTATGTTATGTTATGTTATGTTATGTTATGTTATGTTATGTTATGTTATGTTATGTTATGTTATGTTATGTTATGTTATGTTATGTTATGTTATGTTATGTTATGTTATGTTATGTTATGTTATGTTATGTTATGTTATGTTATGTTATGTTATGTTATGTTATGTTATGTTATGTTATGTTATGTTATGTTATGTTATGTTATGTTATGTTATGTTATGTTATGTTATGTTATGTTATGTTATGTTATGTTATGTTATGTTATGTTATGTTATGTTATGTTATGTTATGTTATGTTATGTTATGTTATGTTATGTTATGTTATGTTATGTTATGTTATGTTATGTTATGTTATGTTATGTTATGTTATGTTATGTTATGTTATGTTATGTTATGTTATGTTATGTTATGTTATGTTATGTTATGTTATGTTATGTTATGTTATGTTATGTTATGTTATGTTATGTTATGTTATGTTATGTTATGTTATGTTGTGTTATGTTATGTTATGTTATGTTATGTTATGTTGTGTTATGTTATGTTATGTTATGTTATGTTATGTTATGTTATGTTATGTTATGTTATGTTATGTTATGTTATGTTATGTTATGTTATGTTATGTTATGTTATGTTATGTTATGTTATGTTATGTTATGTTATGTTATGTTATGTTATGTTATGTTATGTTATGTTATGTTATGTTATGTTATGTTATGTTATGTTATGTTATGTTATGTTATGTTATGTTATGTTATGTTATGTTATGTTATGTTATGTTATGTTATGTTATGTTATGTTATGTTATGTTATGTTATGTTATGTTATGTTATGTTATGTTATGTTATGTTATGTTATGTTATGTTATGTTATGTTATGTTATGTTATGTTATGTTGTGAGTGAGGTGTTAACATACTGCGACCTAAAACATCTATTGTACCACCTTCTATTGCTAATGCAGCAAGAAAATGTCTCAATGCCTGTAACGACCTTTCAAGTCTTATCTTCTTAAGGAAGTGTAGGATTTAGAGTGACTTCAAGTTAGGTAAATCCCCCTGTCCTATTTTAAATGCTCCTTGGATTTTGAAATACTATATTCCTAGGGTCATCATTACTGTGTCATTAGACTATAATTTCAAAAATTAAATAGATATCAACCAACAACTTTCAGTAAATAAGGTAAAGTCACCAGTAGTTGACACATTAAGAAAATAAAATTGATTGTATTTTTTTATAGCTTCAGTTTTTGGGTATGTTATTATGGTTTTGGTAATCTTTGGTCTTTTTGGAACAATAACGAATTAAAAAAAAAAACGATTTTAATTCGTTTATGACTTATAAATTTTGATTAAAAAATTTACCAAAATTACTATGGGGTTGACACTACATAAATATTTTGAAATCTTTAGTAATTAACACGTCAAAGGACTAGTAATTGACAGCGTTGACAAGTAATTGACAAGAAAGGCAACAGTAATAATTCTTTAGTTTCTTTAATAGTAAACAAAATACTTTTTATTTGTCAGATGAGAAATTACAATAGAGGGAGAGACTACCAAAGTGTGTTTATTCATCCTGTAAGCGACAAATATAGCATCTAAGTCTATAATAGTCAAATATTGGGCATATGAATTCAAATTTCACTTAACAATAGAAAATAACACTTTCATAAACTCCCTGTATACAATCATGCATCTGGTAAGGTACATTCAATATTAATCATCTACAAAAACGGCAGAACTAAATTCATATTTCACATGATCGCCAAAAGAAACAACATTTGGAGCGTCCAATTTTTTAATAATAAGGTAGCTTATTCTGTAACCAACGTTTTTGAAAGCGCTTAGCGCGTCTCTAGAAACGCGACAAACAATTTACAAAAGCATGTACTACGAACGTTTTGGTATTCTCTACTTGCTGTGCCGTGCCTAT